TCAGCACTGGTGCCCCCCAGGGTTGTGTTACAATCTCTCAGGACCTGAAGTGGGACATTCACATCGACTCCATTGTTAAAAAGGCCCAGCAGAGGTTGTACTTCCTTTGCCAGCTTCACAGGAGCTGCTGAAACAATTCTACTCTGGCATTCTGCCATCATTCAATCAGTCCTCTGCACTTCAATAACTGTCTGGTTCAGCTCAGCTACCAAATCTGACCTCAGAAGACTACGTAGGATAGTGCGGACTGCTGAGGGAATCACTGGTACAACCCTCCCCACTCTCCAAGAAATGTACTTATCCAGAGTGAGCAAAAGGGCTGGCAAAATCACTCTAGACCCTTCACATCCAGCACACTCCCTCTTTGAACTGTTGCCGTCTGGTCGATACTACCGAGCACTGAGCACCGGAAAGGCCAGGCACAGGAACATTTTCTTCCCTCAGGCAATCCATCTTATGAACACTTGACAATAATTGTGGAATACACAACACTATTTATACACTTATACGTTTATTTATCTAACACACATACTTACAATATAGCTGTACATACAAAATTGTCTATTGTAATATACCTTTACAAACAAATTGCCAATTTGTATATTGTTATTCCCTATTTACTTGTTCTATTTTTATTCTTTTCTTATCTGTTTTGTCTTGCCACTGTCATTCTGTTGCACTGTGGAAGCTTCTGTCACTAAAACAAATTCCTTGTATGTGTAAACATACCTGGCAATAAAGCTCATTCTGATTCTGATTGAACTGGTTTTCTCTCTCACTCTTATTAATGCAACTTCCAGCAAAGATCAACTAGAATTTTTGATTCTGTCAAAAATTCCCCAAATCAGTTACATGGCCCAAATGCTTAAAACAAGAATCAGGCCCTTCACAAGCTCCCATTCAAGATGTTGATGCAGAAATGCGTTCTTTCATGCGTTCGCCCATAAGATTGGTTTGCAGCAATCGATCTGAAGCATGTGTACTTTCACGTCTCAATTTTATCTCGACACAGACCATTTCTTTGGTTTGCTTTGAAGAGTCGAACATACCAGTACAATGTCCTCCCCTTTGGGCTCTCCCTGCATCTTCTCCAAAGTTGCAGAGTGTGCTCATCTCAACGACTGGCTTAAATTAGCTCATTCATGAGATCTGTTGTGTGAGCATGGGGATGACGCTCAGGCACCTCAGCCATCTGGTGCTTCAGGTCAACTGGGAAAATAGCAAGCTCTTCCCTGTGCAGAGCATCTCTTTATTATCTTGATAAAGCTTGATTGATGCATATGCGATCACTTCAGCACTGGCTGCACAGCCGATTCCCGAGATGGACATGGCATGGGCGGGTGATCATTATGCCGTTTATTCATTATTCAGCCCATGGTAAGACCTTGTTTTTCTATGGGCAGGACTGTCCTTAGAACAAGAGTTGAGGCATGTTTTTGTCACAACAGATGCCTCCAGATTGGGCTGGGGTGCTGTATGCTAGGGGACCACAGCCTCAGACCCCTAAGCAAAGATCTCAAATACAGTGGCATATCAATTACCTTGAGTTGCTAGCTTGAGCTGCTTGCCTTACACTGGTTGGAGCCACTGCTTCATGGCAAGCATGTGATCATCCAGATGAACAACCTGCGATGGTGCAAAACACCTGCCATCTCCTCCTCTGGAGTCAGATGTGACTGAAATCACTGCAGGCCATTCACATCCCGGGGGAGCTCAATTGTGCAGCCGATGCACTCTAATGACATCCCGAGAGAATGGAGACTCCACCCCCAGGTGGTCCAGCTCATCTTTTCTCTTCCATGGAGTCCTCCCATTACTAGCTGTTTTATTCCCTGACCAAGACCTAAACTACCGCATTCCCTGACCCGGCACAGATGCACTGGCATACAGCTGCCCCTGGGGTCTGCTCAAGTACGCATTTCCCCCAGTGAGCCACATTGCACAGACTCTGTGAAGATCAAGGAGGACGAGAAGCAGGTCTTGATGACTGTGCCCTGCTGGCCCACCTATACCTGGTTCTCAGACCTGATGCTCCTCGTGACAGCCCCTCCCTGGTAAATCCCCTTGAGGATGGACCTTCTCTCTCAGGGATGGGGCATCATTTGGCACATGTGTCCAGATTTCTGGAACCTACACGTGTGGCTCCTGGATGGGACATGGCAGACTTAAGTGGCCCATCACAGGCTGTGATAAACATTATCACTCAGGCTACAGCCCCCTCTACTAGGCAGGCTTATGCTCTGAACTGGAGTATGTTTGTCGAGTGGTGTTATTCTCACTAGAAGCCCCTGGAAATGCCTGATCAGTGTTGTGCTTTCCTTTCTGCAAGAGAGGTTGGAGAGGAGGCTGTCCCCTTCCACCCTGAAAGTGTATGTTGCCGCCATTGCGACACATCATGCACAATGGATGGCAGGTCCCGGGGCATGGAAAAAGGAAAGGCCGTCTCCAAGCAGAGGTTGGCTCCCTAGTGGATGCCATCACCTTGGCATACCAGACATAAGGAGCACATGGAAGGGCACCCTGGGAAAGAGGGGTCACTCCACTAGGAGCATTGGCTCTTCCTGGGCGTTGGTGCACGGCACCTCTCTGGCAGGTGAGGACCAACCGCCGTGGGACCTACCACATTGGTTCATTCAATATGTACAATTGCCCTCATGTCAGTCCATATGTGCATGCTCCACATGTCACCTCCCTATGGGAAGGATGTGGCTCCGCAGCTCCCCAAATGTGTAGTTGTCATTACTGAGAAAGGTTTTTCTTCTTTCTCTTCTTTTTTTTTTAAATGAAAACTAACAACTTTTTCCGTAACAACTTTTATTCAACCCTTCTAAGATTATCTGGCTTACCTGGGGTGTTGGGAAAGTTATGGCTTGCAACTGCATCTGTCTAGACATGCTTCTGCTCACCACCACCTGCATCTCGTAACAGTTCAGTGGTTGTGGTGCTTTCTGTAGGGACCCCAATACGTCAGTATCGACGTAACATCGAATGTGACTGACTGAAAGGGAACATCTCGGTTACATGTAAACCTTGTCTCGGTTACATGTAAACCTCATTCCCTGAAGGAGAGGACAAAGAGGAAACGTCTCCTCAGCATTAACCTGAATGCGTGGATGCATGCCGCCATCTAATATAACTGTGTGTATGGTTAGTGGCTAGACATACCAATTCCACTTGCCAATATTCATTGACTGATTCTTGTACTACTCAGATATGATTGGGCTCCCCCAATTGAGACCCCAATCCGTCAGTATCGACACAAGGGGCCAGTTTTACTAAAGATGTGCAGTGAAGAATTAGCGCTGAAAAGGCATGAACACAGTCATTTTTGCGTCTGACCTTATTGAATATGCATTTCTAGGAGTTTCCCTTTCAGATGCAAAATTTATGGGAGGAGAGTATTCAAATGAATCACGCAACGTGATTTACTAATGTTTGCGCTCGTCAAATTACTGGCATTTGCGCCATTATTTAACGCCCAAATAAAGCATGTTTTAAACTATTTTGCGCTTTTCCACACGTATTAATTTATTTTGAATGCCAGAAGAACACATTATCCGAACATATCGTTTGCCAAGCTAACATATTGTTTGCCAAGCCATTTTATTTTTAATTTGCTTCAGGAAATAAAAGATGACTTAGAACCCTCAACTAGGAGTCTCGCAATACCAGCTCTATCAAAACTGTTGCAACCCTTCATTTTTTGGCCTCCGGTTCTTTTCAACGTGCTGTGGCTTATTTATTTCTTTATTGTTTATTCGCAACTACGCTAATTTGCACTGCGCTTGGTATATTGCATTAGTCGATATGTAAATGAGATGTTGCGTCTGTGTTCTTTAATTTGTGCGTTGTTAGAAAATCACCCGCAGAAATTTCCACGCCCATCGGCGCTCTTTTGGAATTGCGCTCTCGTGCAAATTTGCCTGTTTAGTAAAACTGGCCCAAGGTCTCCATTCTTGGGGGCAGTCGTGGCCTAATCGTTAGAGAGTCGAACTCAGTTCGGGCAGGGGTTGTAGGTGGGGGGAGTGAATGTACAGCGACTGTACAATACCACGACTGAGGTGAGACCAACCCAAACCCCTAACTGCTTCCCGTGTGCCACAGCAAAAATGGCTGCCCACTGCTGTGTTGTGTGTTGGTCACTACTCACTGCTGTGTGTGCACTTGGATGGGTGAAATGCAGAGCACAAATTCAGAGTATGGGACACCATTGTTGGCCACACATCCTTTCCTTTCCTTTCTCTATTCTTCAGGGAATGAGGATTACATAAATAACTGAGACTTTTCTCTTTCAGCCTGCAAAAGGCCTGTCTCTGAGGTTTGTCCCATACCCATTTGTTTCTTTGTCTGAACAGTTATTTTAGTGGCAAAATAAATAAAGCAAGTTGTGGTAACATTTTGCAAGGATGTTGGCCATCCCTAGTACTCTCCTACATTTGCCACATACTTTGATTCTGGCAATTGGAGTATAGCACAGACATAATACCTCCAACATATCTCTCAAACATTACATCTTAGGTGTAGCTATATCTTATATAATTATATATCTATATAATTACAACACATTCTAGGCAATTTGTCAGTTGGATAAATTCTGTTCCCAGTCATTGTTAGAATTAATTAAAAAGGTTGCCATCCAACTGGCAAATGACACTGTTTCATATACTCGTAAAGGCTGATTTTTACTCACATTTGGCACTTGGCGAATGTCATTTTAGGCCCTGCTTCAACATTTAAATGCATTTATCACTCCCAAAGTACACTGACTTAAGTGAAATAACTTTTTACTTAGAATTCTTTTACTTTCTGACAAGTATTGAAATCAATGTCATTGCATCGAAGAAAAAAAAAAGCTGAACAATTACTAAACTTAGCACTTGTGATTTCACCTCTGCAAATCTACAGCACAATTAAACATAACCCTAACCAGCTTTAGGTAACATAGGAAAACAGCAGAAAAATAAAAACTAGTTGAATAAAATAATGGTCACAGCCCTTACCTTGTTGTGGGACACAATAACTTCCCATTGGCCTTTGTGACATTATGCTGTTCCCCTGGTTTCCCTGTGCCATTATTCCAGTCTGCTGACCCTGGTAGTGCTGACCCCCTGCTGAGGTGGATGAGTAATGGGATCCAGTGCCTTGCTGATGCATCATAGAAACTAATGGGAACCAGCACCACAAACATTGCAACATTGAAATGACAATGTAAACAAAAGTCTTATGTTCAAAAAATGTTTTAAAACACTGAGGTTATATCCAGGACTAAAATGTTGCTGTACAGTTTTTGAGAACCAAAAGAAGCTGGGGTAGAGTCAAGAAAGAAACACTGTCAGTTAGGGACAGAGGGCAGCATTTCAGGGTTTTAAAGATTTAAAGAATGCCTAAAAAGAGGATTAAATCAAGTTCGAGGAAGGTAGCAGCCTCCTGCTGATGAACTGAATGGGTTTGATCTCTCTCCTGAGGGTCAAGAGATATTTCTAATGTAGCATCTTTATCCATGCAGAAGAATAACTCAACAGTAGCACATGGATGAATATCAAGAAACCTGTCAAGAACATGTCTTTGTTAGATTTTTCCCCAAAATGTGTTTCTGTGTGTGTGTACCTGGTATTCCCAATTTTTTTTTGGTACCCATGAGGAAACAGGCTTTAAAATCATACAGAATGGAGCTTTTTGAAAATCTAAAATGGCAGAACATTTTGTGTGAGGGGTAGGTTTAGGGTTAGGGGATAGAAAATATAATTTGGTCAATATAAAAACAATAAAATTTGTTGAATCGGGCATAAAAAAATGTCAAAGGCTACACTGTAAAATTTCAGCAGTTCATTTCAGCAACCACATTTAAATACGGGATTCTCTAAATTTGTGTTCGGAACATGACTCACTCCCAAAATTGCCATTGACAGTGTGGTCACCATATCAACATTATGGTGTATCATGTGTTTGGTATCCAATATTTTTGTCAAAAGTAATATTATAGCGACCAGAGACTTATGTTCAGCAATTTGATCTAAACCCCCATCAACAGAGCCATTGTGTTTTGTTTATGTTTGTAAGGCTGCTTTGCAGAGCACGCTCTTGAAGTGTTGCCATGTCCACTTTCTATAAGCATTTTTGGGCTTGATTTTTATAAAGTTTAAGGAGATATTGAAGCGAGCAGGTTGAGATATTTTTGTTTTTAAGATAAAACGTTTGGATTTTTCTCTGTTTATTATGGGCTTGTTCCATATACCATACATGACATAATTTATTTCTGAATAAAGCTTTCCTTAAAGCCCTCATCCCCCATTCTCTTGTCCAATTACATTGATTTCTGGATGGGACTTTCAGGTGAGCTCCATCCTGGGCTCACCTTGGCTGGACTGCATGTTGAGGTTGGCACGAGAGGCCATAGATGAATAGGCCACCTGACCCTGAGAGGTGGGCGCTGAGTGGCTGTACCCAGGCCCCGTGCCATGGCTCATGGATGTGCTGGGCTGCTGCTGGGTGAGGACGTGGCTGGGGCCTGACAACACACACTCACAGTCAGGATAAAGTACACATTCAGTTCATCAAAACACCACCACACAAAGATAGCAAATGAAAGGGCACATAGTGTTGTTAAGAGCCAGGCAAGCTGCAGAAAAGTATAGGGGTGTGTGTGTAAAAAAAGTAAGTACCACATACAGTGAAAATAATTTTTACAAAGAAATAAGCAAGCTCAAGCACAGCACAGGCACGTAAGCGGTTCTCGGATGCAGAGAGGGTCTCACCATTGCTCATTTGGCTCTGCATTAGTGAGGTGGGTGGCAAGCCAGTGCCCATGCTATCATTCATATTAGTCTGAGAGTGCAGAGACTGACCTCCACCAACCGGACCTATGTTTAGATTGGGGTTGGGAGGCTAAAGTGAAAACAAAGCAAGAGAAAGACAAACAGAAAGAGATAAAGAACAGATAAAGAAGAAAAAGTAAGAAACTAAATATTTCTTTCGTTATTTTTAGCCATTCTTGTTATATGAAGTGACTGTGCACTATATACAGTATATCCCTCTTTTAATACACATTTTCAGTTATCCTTATTAAGCTCTTGTCACACTATCCAATTTTCATTTACAAACATATAAACCAAAGTTTTTTTTTTTGCTAATAAAACAAGAGGAGGCAGAACAGTCTGTTTAATGAACGTAAATCTTTTCATCAGTGAAGCTGCAGATCATCATATACTTCCAACAGCATCCCCTGAAGGAACTAAAGGCTAAAAGGCACTTCTGATTTTTTCTTCTTTCAACTACTAGATGGCAAAAAAAAAAAAAAAAAATCAGTATAGTTTCTTTAACTCAAACAGTAGAGCATTCGATTCCCAGTGAAGGCAAGAGTTGTTTTCATTTTTTTTTGTAAATGAGAATTAATTTAGTTAGTTTTTTAATAAATGTTAAAAATTTATTTATTTTTAATTCGATTTTTTTATTATTATAATATTAGTGCAGAATTTTCTGAAGCGACTGTTCTGAACAAGTATTAACTTTTTTAATCATATTTGAAAACATCATGCAGAACTTGTTACTTTAGCTAAAGTTTTTGTATTATTGCTGGGTGCCTTTTGCCCGGGGTCGGTTTTACCACCTCATGAGTTTTTAAAACATATCACTTTTATAATCTATTTTCCCACAAAACGTGTTGCTTTATCACTTTTCAATAACAATGTGTAATTTGTGCAATCTTACATTTTGGGAGTAGTGAAAAGCACAGTTTCCTTAAGGTGTCTTTAGCCCCATTGTACCTTACACATCATAAGGCACTCTTAAAGTGCAAAACTGGAAACTCTAATGAGTGGTGAACTCAGCAACGAGGGAGAGTAAAACAGTAGTTCCCTTTCATGGGAACTTCGAACTGCGTCCTCTA